TATATATATATATATATATATATATATATATATATACACACACATACACACATATCACCTGCCTGGCCTTCAGAGCCCCCCCAGCTGCCCGTTGCATCTCACAGCCAACCTCCTCCTCCTCCCTGACAGCTGTCTTCATCTTATTTTTAGTTTTAGCCCGCTTGCCTTGCAGCTGCTTTGCCACTTTTAACTCCATTATTTGGTTCGCGACAGCAGCGTATTCGTGAATGAGTGAATGTCTGTTTTATCTCTGTGTCGATTTCACACAAGCTTTCGAGTGGCAAAGGTATGCAGAGTGTTGCGAAAGATGAAACCATTGCCCAATGGAGTGCCTCTCATTAACCCTGCAAAAAATGTAATTGCAAATTCAATCTTGAAATAATTTGTCATTTTATGCGTGAGAATGCAGGCTGTCGAGATCAAACGCATTGTTTCGCCGTCTCAAATGCGCATCTCTCAAGGCGTCTGCATGTAGCAACAAGCCATAATTACCGTGTCCGAGCGCAGCGTTACTTCCGGGAGCTTGGCAGTCCAACAGATTTGGTGTCCGTGACGACGCTGTTGCCAGGAGACGCTGCAAGTGCGGGGCCGTTGATGTCTGTGCATTGACACAAGCTGACAGATGCAGACCGGGTGTCTTCACTCACAAGCCAGACCATGCAAAATGTTTTTGGTTTTTTTTACTGTGCAATATGCAATCATACAAGCGCCTTTACAATGCTAATAGCACTCAGTTGTCACCCGTTTGTCATACGGTGAGCCTAAATACCTCTCTGTAGGTTGCAGTTCGACACGTGTCCCCATTTGGAGCCTGGCTGCATCCACCAGCGAGGTAAAACCTCACAGTCCAGTCCAAGCCAACTAAAATAATCGTGTGTGGGAGTACTGTCAGACGCTCAGTTCAACACTGCGCTCAGTGCTCTGCACACTGTTTGTGTAAATAAGTATGGAAAGTCGGTCCGGCATTTCTTCCATATTCCATTTGAAGGTCCGTGGGTGTACTCGTGCACACATTATTGTCACTGGGAAGACAATTACGAACGCTGTTAGAACGACAAGGGCGGCTGTGTTTTACTCGTAAATGTTTCTTCCACATGAAGGGCCACTTTTGGCCGACGAGGACACAAATAACCGGTCGGCCACTGTGTCCTGCGCAAGTAACGGGATTCGGAGCAAAGGTAGGCAGGCATGAGTCCCGCCCCAGTGGCCTTCTGAACACCCAAATGCCTGCATTTTAATGTTGAAATTTAATTTGCGAGTACATTCCGATATTTTTGCCAGTTTGCCACATTGGCAGTCCCATGCTTCCATATGCAATCAATGAAAATGGCTGTCCCAAGAAATCAATGGTTCTACATCAATAGTTTCAAACTTCGGCTTGGGATTTTTATTTACAGCCAAATGTTAGATTATTGAAACAGGCACACACTTCCTGGCAAATAAGCTTTCAAGTTTGTCTTTTGTGTTGTTTGTGATGAGAGTATGTCCAGTTTACGCTCCTATAATTACATGATATACTTGAGTACATTTGAGTTGCTGGGGGAGGGGGGCGGGGATTTCTCACGACAAAAAGTTTCTCGATCCTTGGTCTATCGCAGGGTTTAAAGGAAATGCAAAAAAACAAACAAAAAAAAATCAAGCAACAAATATACTGCTACTTGTTTTGTTCCCTTAAAGATCAAATCGAAAACAGCGGAACAATCCAAAGTGGTGTCAGAAATGTTCCAGGAATGGTGGCTATTTCAAACCAAAAACCATGTGTGCATAGGCAGCACATTTCTTTAATGTAGGTAACAGCTTCCTTGTAGTTATTTATTTATTTCCCCCCCAAAAAAACGGGAGCAGGATGTTTGACTTTTGACGTGTGTCCTTGAAACCGGAAGTCTATTTTTAGTCAAGCACGCCCGGCCGGCCCTGACCCGATTTTGTGTGGATGTGCCGAGACTCTTTGAGGATCACCGACTATCCTTTTTACACCCATGCATGGCCGATTTTGTTAGTGCAGCACAGTACACGAGGCGGCGTGCTGTGCTGACACCTGCTGGTTGGGAGAACGGAGGATTTCGACACACATACACACACACAGACGAGCACTTGCCCTTTGTCCTATTTACTTTTTCCCTCGTATCTGCGAGAACATTCCGTATAGATCCGTGCTCCAAACAAGACGTCCACTTCGGAGAATTGTCCTTCCAGATCCAGATAAGATTTGCCCAACATCTTTTCCCAAAGGCGCGTGATCACATTATTCACAGCGGCGATTTGACGCAATCCTCGGTGGCCTCGGGAGAGTTTATCCCGACTGGCGGACGAGCGTCTAAAGTGCATAAGAGAAAAAGCTTGAATGGTTTCGACCGTCCCTGTTGGGTAGTGAGGTTGAGTTCAAAGTGTGTGTCCGCTCAAAAAAAAACAACTAACAAAAAAAAAACGTAAGCGTTGTCATGGCTTTGGGCCGCCAAAATCTGTACTGTTCTTCTCCGTCCTGGCAAGGATGCGGAGGACTGTTTGGTTGAAGTCTTCAGGCTGGTCGGCAAAAACGTAATGGCCCGCCCCTCGAATCACCTGACAAATAGGAGAAAGGAGAATAGAATTATTTCAGAGCGTCCAAAGTGCATAAGAGAAAAAGCTTGAATGGTTTCGACCGTCCCTGTTGGGTAGTGAGGTTGAGTTCAAAGTGTGTGTCCGCTCAAAAAAAAACAACTAACAAAAAAAAAAACGTAAGCGTTGTCATGGCTTTGGGCCGCCAAAATCTGTACTGTTCTTCTCCGTCCTGGCAAGGATGCGGAGGACTGTTTGGTTGAAGTCTTCAGGCTGGTCGGCAAAAACGTAATGGCCCGCCCCTCGAATCACCTGACAAATAGGAGAAAGGAGAATAGAATTATTTCAAGAAATATTTCATTTGCCTCACATTTTGCCTAAATAAACCACATTTGACTTTTAAAGTAGGCCAGATCATTCGGAGATGAGGTGAAAGAAAAAAACGAGTTAAAATATGCATGCGAAATGATTGAAACAATCCACCTAATTTTTTTGATTTGCATCTTTTTTTTGTGTGCGTATGTTTAAAATAACAATAAAACGACCTACGTGGTGGGGGGGACTAGAAAAAAAATCTGATAATTTATCAGACTCATCTAACTTCAGACACTTTTTTTTTATTTAATTTAATTAAATGATTAAATTTAAATTTGTTTTTGTTTTTTTTCCCAGGATTTTCAGGACGACAGCCAGCGGGTCAAGAACGCAGGCCGAGCTGATCATTTGAATCAAGTGTGTTGGAAGAAGGAAACGTGGACAACATCGCTGGACGGCGGCCCTCGCGGAGTGCAGTTTAAGTAAGACCTGCGGTCTGGCACGCCTCCTCCTCCACGGTCGACGGGGGTTCACCTACCGTGATTCCCACCTCCGGCCTGGTTTTCTTGAAGGCGTATCCCGAGGCGCTGTCGATGCTGGAGCGGGAGCCGTAGATGAAAGAAATGGGAATTCCCGCCTGCACCTGGCCGATGCGCTCCAGCATGGGCCGCTTGGCCCAGCCGTACGGGATGGTCATGTTCTTGAAAGCCGTTTCGCCGCTAAAAAAAAGGGGGCGGGCCGCGTCTTGAGTGAAGCAAAAGGGAGGCTCTCGGTGCACGACGCGCTTACCTGGGAGTCTGCGCGTTGAGATGGTAGATGTAGTTGGACACGGTGTTGTCGTCAAACATGGAGGAATACTTCTGCTTGAAGTCGGACCTGATTGTTTGGACCAGCGTCGGACCTGAGGGGGGGGGGGGAATGAAAGCACTCGCAATACTGCAGTTCTCTGAGCAGGACGCCGTTGCCTGATTCATTTTCGACAGTTTTGGTTGCGGCAGAGCTCGAGCCCACCCGAGCTGATTTTTTTGTCTTATCTTACAATCACACTAAAAAGTACGATTTTATTTGCATAAGATGAGGAGTTTGGCATAAAACATGCATGGCTTTTTATTCTAAGGTTTAAAAGGTTTTGTTGTCTGTGAGACCTGATCCTGCTGTCAAATCAATTGGCGGCCTTTCCATATCGTAGGACGGGCGGGCTCATTTCTCACCATTCTATTGATGCAATGCGAGACACTCACTTGCAATGCCCCCTGCAGCCATAAAGCGCTCACGCCACTGCTAGTATTCGCCGTCAACTTTGAACCACACACGTGCTATCCAAATGACACGTTGATGACACGCGACGGCGCTCCTGTGATCTGTCCGGACCCCGGGAGCTGAGAAATCCTAATCAGCGTGCGTAGTGAGTGAACCAACCTAAAGGCCCGGCCAGCCTGAGGCCAGCGAGCGGGTTGAAGGGGCTCATGACGGCCCCCATGGCTCGGATCCACACTGGGATGGAGTTATGGTGGGGGTTCTCGGGACGTGCGGGGAACCCCCACGGCTCGACCAGCAGCAAATGTTTGACCCTGTACGCACAGGTGCGCCAAATTCAAATTGTTAGTGAGCAGAATCAATCCCAAGATGGTGCCACGTGTTTTGGCAGCCCTTTTGAATCCTTGCGGGGCACAACATTAGGTACACCCGCACAGTCTAATCATAATTGACACTGCAGAAGACGTACCGGTATTCAGCTCATCGTCATGCTGTCAGGAAAGAAGGGAAAGTACCTGTTTGGGTGTCTTAGGGTGTAGGCGGCAGACAAATATCCTCCCAGGTTGTGTCCCAGCAGCAGCATTTCCTGCAGGCCCATCTCCTCCCGCCACTCTTCCAGGGCTTCCACGAACTGCTCCTCGGCCCCCTCGGGCTCACCACTGAACAGCGGGCGGCTGCTTCGGCCAAAGCCCAGCAAATCCACGGCGTAGACCGGACCGCCGCTGGAGAGAGAGTCCAGATTTTGGGTCCATAGGGCGACGCCGCCACCGAAGCCGTGCAGCAAAACCAGAGGGGGTCTGGACTGCAGAGCGGAGGATGGCTGGAACGCGATGGTCCACAGGTAGTTTCCATTGGAGATGCGGACATGCTGTCTGGAGAAAGGCTGCTTGACACCTGCGGTGTAAAGAATTGGAGAATGAAGCGGGTATGGATCAGGGGTTTGTCGAACAAAAGAACAATCGTGATGTTTTGACATCACTTACTTTTCAGCATTTTCTCCTCCGCATCTTTAAGCTGAGAGAGGGAAGTGGGGCACCACGATGGAAGCCACCTTAATAACCAGGAGCTGCAACACACGTGGCGATTGAGAGAAACATGGAAAATGGTGAGTTTGGCCTTCTTCTCGACGGCTCTTTTGACGGTGAAATGGACTGAATCCACGACCTAAACTAGAGCTAACGTAAACTCGTCTGCTTGGTTGGGTTTTTTTGCTGAACTACTCAATGACGACCCAACCAAAACGTTTCATACTTATTGCCTTTCACAAAGCCGATGACGGTTTGTTTCCCAGCCTCTCCCTTTTAGAAGTGGCTACTACACCAGAAAGCAGCCTTTCAGTTTTCTTCGTACAACTTTTTTTTTTTTTTTTTTGGATGACAGTCACTGTTTTCCGAGTTCAAGATACAAACAGACCTCAAAATTTAAAGGCAGGTGTGCTAACCATGCCCAAGCCCCATACTAAATATCATGGGTGAGCCTGGTTGTTGGAAATGGATGGATGGTTTCGGGGACATTTTTTTTTTGTTGCCTTTTTACAGTTTTCTCTGAGGTTTAGAATTGTGCGGCAAACCAGGTCAAATAGACACGGAGGGCTATTGCCATATCTGGTCCACTAGTCTTCGGTTCTTTACCCCTTGTCTATACATTGAACTTTGACCATGACATTTTCGTTATCATTGCTGACATGCAGTCTGGAACTTCCCTGACGATCCATTCCAGCAGAACTTGACAACATGTATAAACAACACATGAAACGTATAGTCGGTTGTTTTCGAAACAAACATACGTCCCCCGAATAAGTCCAGTGCTGAAAATCGACATTGGTGGAATTGTCAGGTAGTCAAAAAGAGTTTAAAAGTTTTCAACAAAACAACCGACGGAACAAGCCAAACTATGCGCCGAATAGACCGTAAGGTTGCAACACTTTGTAGAAATCACACGTGTGAGATCAAGTCAGCACACAGAAAGAGAAGTTCTTAAAAATAAACATTTGGCATGGAAGTTTGGTGCACTTCCCAAAACAGACGAACTGAGCTTGCCAGTAGCTTCCGGCTGGGTTGTCAACTCGTTCAAGTAAACAACGCAACGCTGTTATAATCGCGTCGTAACGTACAATAACGGATTTTAGGGAATTAAAAGCTTCATAAAACATAAACGTACCTCTGCTCATTGGCAGGTGGATCCCACTCCGCCATACTTCGCATGTTTAACGGTGGTCCTACGACAGAGTTGGAAAATTGTTCGAATTTGTCGTGTTGCGTTCCAGTACACACTGTGCAAAATCCTTTCACCGCAAATTGGGATTACGACTCAGGAACACATGGAGCAGGATAACGCGCTACAATGGGATCATTTTTCCACAGGTTTAAAGGTATGTTAATGCTACTGAATATAAATCGTAGATTACAATTTCAAGAATGATAGTGGCATTTTCTGCCGGTCTATTTTTCCAAAGTGAGTTTAAACCTTTTTCCCGAATGTCTTTGAACACAGCAGTGCTTTTGAAAACAAAGCTAATTTATTGACGTCGCTGTTCGAGGTAGTGGTCACGTGTTTGATTTAAAAATGACAATGGAAGTCAAATCGTTTCCCTTCAAATGACGCCCTAAAAGACACAAAATAATGACACGTTAAGAGCTAAATACTTAAAAAAAAAAAAGGAGTGACCAACAACCAACTGCGTGACTCCTCATAGAATCAAACCCCTTGGCTAGCTTAAATTAGGTTCCTTCAAAATTTTACTCAGACAGAACAGAAGTTATTTATAACAACGTGCACAATAAAGTGACAATAATACTAACTCATCTGAACAACTTTTAACAACAACTTTGAACAAATATTTGCATTCGGCCTCTCAAGCTTTTAAGGTAGGTGGCATACTAAATAGGATGGATGAATTGATTCGGTATTAGAACGCATGTTTATTATTATATATTATACTGTAGATATTCGTGATTGTAGTTTGTATTTATTTAATCATTGAGGTTTTTAAATATGTTTAGAATTGCTTGAGAGTACGTCCGTAAGGCAGCATGGGGCCTGTATACTAAGATACTAAATAATTCTTCCAAAAAAGAGGCCGAGTGCTTGCTTCATGATGTTTATTGTCGTTCCGAGTTGAAGTTTGAATATCAAAAGAAGAGAGAATTGTGTGTATACTGTATTTAATCAAACCAAACAGCATAACCTGAATCTCCACTGGCTTCATGCTACCACATCATGCAAAACGCCATAGAGCCACGAACAAAATTAACATTGATGTAGCTGTAGTAATAACCCTTTAAGCCAGATTTGAACACAAATTGTTGTAGACCAATTTTTGACATTTATTGTTTGCCACGAAAAAGTGTTTTTAGCGGTTTCCAAGTAAGTGTGTCACGCGTTTAAGCCATGGGATTTTTTAAAGAACGGTGTCCACCTTGTGCAATGACACACCCGGAATGAGGTTTTTGAAGGCCGACAATAGACAGAAAACATAATTGCCAAGTCAGAGATTAAACCTACGCTTATCTGCATAAACTTGGCTCTACAGTTTTAAGATAAGAGGCGAGAGATTAAATGGAAAGTTAATTTAATTCATTATCCTCCAGGATTTGAGTGTACAGTATGATCCCGTTGCTTTAGGAAGAGCGATTTTTTTTTTTTTTTTACTTTTACTTTCCCCTCTCGCTCTGAATCTCATTAAATGTTAAAAGAGGTTTTATCTTATAGATTAAAATAAGTGGTATCCTTGAAAACCTCTAAAGCATACTTCAGTCACTTTGCACACAGTGTTAAATTGAAGAATTATATGTGCTGGCACAAATCCACCGAACCGACTATTAACAAACAAAATTAATGGTGTGCGTGATACTCTGCGTTTAATCGAATGCAAATCATTTGATTTGATTCGTTCGACAGGAAAAGCACCGCGGGAGGAGACTCGTGCCTGTCCGGCTCCACAAGGTGGCGTGCTTGCGTTTCTTTGTATGTATACTTGGCCCTCACACACTGGCTACTTTGTCCTTCACTTCTTCAAACTCGTATTTTGCTTTCAAACCACCGACTTGTGGTGGCACTTGGGCTATGGGATGACTGAGTGGCTGCTGAGTGCGTCATTCTTGCCGCGCTCGCACGCAGATACACACACACATGCACGTATATTGTGTGTTTGTGTCCTCCTGACCCCTCAGAATGTGAAAAGTAGGCATTGAGGATGATGCCTGAACCAGACTGCAGCGCAAGCAGTATAAAGAGTGCGTTTAGTGTCGTCGAACGTGTCGTTAAAATGACACAAAACAAGCCATGGGGTTTCGTCACCTTTGTGGGCACGACCTGCAACCGTGACGAAACGTCGTTTTGCCAAAACGCGCTTAAGCGGTTTGAAAGGCGCGCCTTCACGGTTAAATCTTACATCGCAGCAAAAATGCAATGAAATCTTTTCAACATTTGTGTTGTAGGCTGGTCAAAATACCTCGAGGATCAAGAAGAATAGTGCACTTAACACCCTTATGATGACCAGAGGCGTATCAGTTTGAATCCCCTCATCCTATTTTTGAAATTTCTAAGAGTAACCCGAGATGTCCTGTAGTGCAGTAAAAGCAGCAAATGTATTTTCACTCATGGAAGCGGTACTTCATCACCAAGTGGCTTACTTGAATACGCATTTCCAGAAGTAGTCTGCTCACAAAAAAACTCGCTCGGTTGTGTAATTTATACTTGTTGAGTGGGAAGACACTCCAGAGACCCACAAATTTGGATTCAAGCAATTCTAGTCAGCCAGTGTTGAATGATATGCCCACCTTTAAGCTTAGCCAAAGTCAATTAGATTGAAACTGTATCGTGAACTTCATGCCTTGCCTTATCGTAATTTATGTCATTTTGCTGAAATTAATTTCCATCTGAGTCCAGGGTGTTCCCCACCTCTTGTCCAAAGTCAGCCAAAAAAAAAAAAAAAGCTGGACATTTGACAAATTTTTAATGATCCACGTTAAGGCTCGGATCAAAAATATGAAATGGAATTTTTGTTTTATGAACAAGTCACTTTTTTATTTCCCCCCTCCCAAAAAAATAAATGATGCACAGATTGCCAGCTCACTACTTGCACATAGTTAGGACAACCATTATTGGAAAGAGATGCATGAATAATTCCTTTCCGCACATGTGCAAGAGTTGTCAGTGCTCCATTTTTTTTATCATGTGTGTTTAGAGACAGCGTGTGCAGTGAGTTCTTTGTTGGTCCACCAGTCAGTTCCGTTTAGGTCTCACCATCCCGAAACGAACGCAAATGTACAGCGGTCGGGGCAGCTCCCGCCATTAGCGAGTGTGTCAGGAGTTTTTGTGGCATGGCCCGATGCACGATGGGTAATAAGAGTTACCAGTCTGTGAGCGGTATATATTGTAGACAGGGGGCGGAAGGGATGCGGAGTCTGTCTGGTTGCTAGGATACGCGGCTGGCGCCAAGAGTGGATATGATTTATAACGGCCGGCTTCACTGTCTTGCTCTCTCCATTAGTTTCCTCCATCGTCTCCTCCCTCTCACTTTTCCATCCTCCACGGTTTGCAGCCCCGGCCAATCTAGGCGTCTATTATCTGGAGACTTCCTTCCGCCGCTCGGTCGAGGCTAATATCGCTGATGCCCAAAGAAAGAAATTCCCAGCAAGTTCCATCTATTTCGCAATCACCATAAAACGCATTTTGAGTCCATTTCCGCCCCTCACCCTCCTCCGGCCGCGCTCGTCCAGATGCAATTATATCGATTCAGCAATTTTTGTGCGTGCATGTGCGAGAGTGGCCGGTTCACATGACCATGCATGAGCCGAGGCCACATGAATGGGCGATATTGATTTGCAGAGACTTGATCCATCTCGCGTTGTCCCCAGGGATATAATACAGTGTGAGGTAGACGAGGACGAAGAGGAGGAGGAGGAGGAGGAGGGCAGAGGGCCGTGTGAGGCGAGGGAACAAAAGCAGCTAGGAGAGAGTATGGATATTGACACTGGATGGCGTTTGATGTAAATGTCACGTTTAAGGTCCAGTTTCGACGTTATATGTTCTGATTTTAGTTTACACAAGGAGAGATCGTGCCGCCTGGACCGACAAGTGGAATTTGTTCCATGACCACACTTGTAACTCCAAAAACTTCCATCAGGAATATCTTGAAGGAGATGTAAGGCCCAGAAAATATCAAATGTTAAATATTCAGCTGGATATTGTATTGCCAAAAATAAAACATCACATTCCCCCCCAAAATAGACACAGAAGTAACATTTTCCTAAAGGCTCGAGTAACACATAAGGGAAAAAGTGAGCGCTGTCTATCAGCCTCTCTATTGATTTAGTGTGTGTGGTCAATGTAGCATGTCAGTGACATTATCACATGAATAATCAAGATGTTTTCAAATGCCTCTCGTTACCTCCGTTCAATGTCTGCTCCGCATCTATTGTGGCATCCTCGAAGAAAAAAAAAATGCTCGAGAAAAAGCAAACTTGTGGCATTCACGGTCGGGAATGCGCACGCAACTGACGAGATGTGTGCTGACATGAACACGTTTGAATTCCAAGTGGAATTTTCAGCCATATAGTTTTTTTCTGGAAAACTCCGTCTGGACTCCGAGCAATCGCGCTTTTGATGCATTTGACTTTGGAAGTTCCACTGTATTCTTGTGTACAGTATTGAATTACATGAGCTTGCAGTATCTGACAGAGGAAGACAACGATTTGTCTCTTAAGTTGTGCAACCACAAAGTGATCTAGTTGGGCGTTCAAACAAGAGTGCCCATATTTCTCTTCTCCTCCCCCCATCACGGCCTGACTTCCAGTAAATGGAGGATAATTTTAGAGCGATAAAGAGCACACACAGACACACACACACACACACACACACACACAATAAGACGGTCCCTCATTCCCTATTGCTGCTGCTGACCCCACAGGATCCACTGAGATCGGCTAGTGCTGAGTGTGCGCCTTCCACACCCACTCACACACACACACACACACACACACACACACACACACACACATGCATATACAGGAATGCATACACTTCTGACTAATAGGCCTAATGTTTCCTGAAGAGGGCCCAGCACTGCATTAGCTACGGATGTGGGATTGATTTAGAAACTGAAAGCCTTCTAGTGTGAGTGTATGTGGTTGTGTGTGTGTGTGTGTGTGTGTGTGTGTGTGTGTGTGTGTGTGTGTGTGTGTGTGTGTGTGTGTGTGTGTGTGTGTGTGTGTGTGTGTGTGCGTGTGTGTGTGTGTGTGAATATGTTATGCATTTCCTGGTGGCTGCCATTTAGTGTTTACTCCCAAATAACGTGCACACTCACAGAAAGACATGGAAGCCACACATCAGTCAAGTCCGTCAGACCGCCGCGTTTCGCCCCCCCCACGTCCCACATTAGCGCCAAACGTCAATATGGACGCAACGCACGGACGAGTTGTCTTATTTGAAAACTGTTGAATTGCTCGAGTTTCACCATAACCCTCGCGCTGATGTCAGTTAGCTAATTAAAGAAGTGCGACCCATCACATCAATTACGCAGCAGCGATTCTACTGAGTACAAAGTCGCGCCTCGTGGCAGATTAAGTCACGACGTCACGCTTGCACTTCATTTGGGTGGTCTGCAAATTCATTTAAAGTGGCTGCTAATTAGCAGAAATGATCCCTCATTTTATTAACATTAGCCCTCCACCATTAAAATGTCCTATGGAAGAACTATAAAATGCTACAGCATTTTTTTTTGTAATTATGATACAGAATGTTTTAAATGCATTTTATTGACATTGAATTCAAAACTAAACCAGTAATATCAAGTCAGCCTTTACAAAAACAGTGCTCCGTTTTGAGAGGTACTGTATTCATTGAGCCCGCATTATTTAGTTACATGAGAGGGTCAAAATATTAGAAACAGCCCTCAGTCTGATGCTGCGCTGTTCTCCACCACTGCAAATGCCAGCCACCAAAATAAGTATTTTTGATACAGCTCTTGCGCACTGATGCCTGCCATTTCTGATTTGGAGATACACACTCACTTTGCTCAGTTCATCAGGTCTCTTCTATTTTTAATTGATTGTGTGTACATTCACAAAATTGCAAACGATCAAACCGGTACCATTTTTGTCAACTTTCCAATATGAATAAGCCATGATACCAACGTAGCAGCCTTGGCTTTTATGCAGCGCGCATCGTACGGCTTCACGTTTCCGAGGGGCGCCGCTTTGTTTCGTGAAGCGAGGGGGTGCGGGGGGAGTGAAGTGAATCTTCGTTCAAATCTTGCAAGCAGCTTGGAAAACTGCATACTCTGTATTGAATGATGAAACAGTATTACAGAGTACTATTTTCCTTATGAGACAACATATTACAACCAATTTTGCTGGACTTTTTGGAGGATACTGGAATGCGTTAATTGCATTTCCAACAATTGTAATGGAGAAAGATGATTTGAGTTGTGCGTCTTTTGCGTTCCGAGCATGATCGAGCAACAAATGAAACTCGTATCTCAAGGCACCAATGTGTTTGAATCATACACGTCTTAACAAATTGTCCCGTCTGCATAATTGCCCAAAATGAACATTTGTATTCTCGAACATCCCAACGATCATGTGATTCTTCTCGTACGTATTCAATATGTGTCACGGTCCTCACATAGCCTTGTGATGAACTCAGAGTGGAGCTACACTTTGTGATGTTTCCTTTGTGATAATTGTTGAACGCTTGCGAAGGTTCTGTCGTTTTTCAGGTCGATCTAGTTCACTCCTATTTTCTCACCGCGGCATTTTAGCAAACATCGCCAAATGCCAGACTCTTCATGAGAATTATCCTTGCGGGAACACGAGAAGACAAACGTACAGATTGTGTCTGCTCGGAGGGCGAGGTTAAACGCTGACGTCTCTTGTGCTGTCACATGGTTGCTGCTGGGTGATCTTCATGTAGTGAGAAACACGCTTGGCGTGAACAAAGAAGATAAGTGAAGAGGGTTGGCGAGAAGGACGAAGGAAGGAGTAGAAGATGAACAGGTTCAAGACTGTCGAGAGGCTGAGGTGGCCGCAGGCGAAGGAGAAGCGAAGCAGACGTGGAGGAGGAGGTGGGGAATTGATAGAGCAGAAAGCTAGGTTATTCGTGTGTGTGTGTGTGTGTGTGTGTGTGTGTGTGTGTGTGTGTGTGTGTGTGTGCGTGCGTGTGCGTGTGTGTGTGTGCGTGTGCCCGGGTCTGAATGGCAGGCTTTGGCAGTAAATGAAACTGTTTATCAGATCAATATGGCCATCATCTCTCAGATGACTGTGGCCTCTGCCGAGGAACAATAATAAATCACAGGCAAATATGGAGGGCGCCGATCCATACCGCGGCCCGTGCGCCTGTTTTGCAAGAACCTTTTGAGTCTGCAGTCGTTATCTCGATGCTTTGCCGCTCAGGCAAACGCAGACGCCGTCACCCCCCTTGAAGTGCAATTATGACACACAGTCATGCTACCGCTATGTGACATACATCAAAAGAGATGTCACCTGTCCTCGGTTCCTTCCCGTCAGGGCTACAAACGCAGCTCCCCGATGGCGCGACGGCCGCTTGTGCGCCCGCACGGAATAATGTAGCCCACCGGTATCAGCCAGAAGACTCTGGGAAACCAAAATAGCGTCACGAGCGCCGATAAATATAGAAGGTAATTAAATCGGCAGCGGGAGAGAGAAGCGGAGAAAAGCCAGGAAAGAGCGAAGGTCTGTTTTCAAGAAGGAGGCTAAAGCAGACAAGTACAAGTCAGTGTCACTGACGGCGATATGGGTCGGCTTTTTTTTTTTACCTTTGCGTTTTTGGTACACTGTGGAAAGAAAGATTGGGCCTGATTTTAGGATTTCCCAAATAGTGTGACCAAAAGTGGTGGGTTCGCTCCGAGTAGACCGCACACTGTCGGTGGGCGTGGTTGGATTGGAATCTTTACACCAAGACCCTAAAGAGCGGGCAAATCATTGTGTTTTCGCCCCAACCGGAAACTTGGTAGAGAACGCCATATTTCTAGCTTGTACACCGATGGTTTTCACCGTCGAACATTTAGGAGATGGCCGCAAGCGCAAAATCAAATTTGACGTGATGGAATCGGAACTGTTCGTGGAAGGCAGGAACATCATTTAGGAGATGGCCGCAAGCGCAAAATCAAATTTTGACGTGATGGAATTGGAACTGTTCGTGGAAGGCAGGAACGGTGCAGAGTCCGAGAAATCGACTCGTCAGATGATTTTTGGGAAGCCAACCGATGCATGAAAAGCCATGTGTTGCCTTGGATTGAACTCGTCTCAAATTCTCATCTGATTAGCAGTGCGTTGAAAACTTGAGACAGCACGCCCAAATAAGTCCTCCGGAGAGGCTCGCACCAACGGTCGCAGCGCACTGACTTCAAATGACCGACCAAGGAATATTCTCAAGAGCAGAAATTGTCTCCCTTTGCGCTATTTAGAGACGCAAAATCAGCCGTTGCAATTCTTCTCAAGTTTGGCACGTGTTGAATTCCTTCCCGTATTTGCATGTACGCAACTTTGCATGTTAGCTAAATTGTTGACTTATTTGCCATGATGCTGTTTGCCTCTACTCTATATCCGCTGTGATAGGCTAACGCAGGGGTCCGGGGGGTTTTCTCCGGACTCCCACCCAAAGCCAGCGGGCGGACTTTGCTCTCGACCCGAATGAGGAGAAGCGCTGTACAAAATGGAGGGATGTCTGTCAACGCCAAGTGACGTTTTCTTCTTACATTCAGCGAGCAACTTTAGCAGACCTCCCTGCCTTTTTTCATCGTGTTCCCTTGGATTGGAAGAAATTGTATCAGGGTTAAAAAACACAAAGATTGTCCGTAAATACTTTGGTGGAGGATTGTGAGTGCGTTTGATTTTAAGGTAGTTTTCAGCCTATGTTTGTCGTGTCGTTTCTTTTTGCCCTCCATTGCAGGCATTGTGAGTCAGCAGTATTTCACCGGCTTATCCTGAGGAGACTGGAGCACGTGAAAGCTGCGGCCGTCACCCTCCATGTGACGTGCTCGTCGCTCGCCCTCGTCTACCTGCCCTCTATCTTCAGGGAGGCTCATGACGCCCACCGTGGAGGCGGATGGAAGTTCCCGCCGGGAGACGGCCGAGTTGGGGGTGAGAGGTTGTTGGAGGGATGTGGCGGGCGGCGGGGGCGCTAAGCCGGCCACCATCTTGACATGGTCTCCTTTGGGAGTGCGTAGCCGATTGTTGTGACAAAAAGTGACCGACCGGAAAGCTTTTGCAGTCCAACGCGAGAATTACAAACGGTAACATCTCGTTGGCCGCACGCATCATTTCTCTCCACGCGCTGTGTCTTCCTATCTCTTGCGCTCTTTGTCTTGTGGCTCTCCCTCGACTACCTCTTCCTCTATCACACCCACGCAGACAATGGCATCTTGTATATGGTCTGCCTGACACACAAAGGCGCAAAATCACACATTGTCATGCACGCGCACACGGCGCCGTAAACGCAGTCAGTCATACGAGCGCGACTGACATGTATGTCTGTAATGCGCACAAAAGGCTCCTGACATCTTTTTTTTTCCGCCTTTCCCACACACAAAACACCCTTATGTACACGTATACGCACAACGCTGCACTACTCTCTGTCTTGGAATTTTACATTTTGATGAAGGAGGAAGCGCGTCATCCAATCAGAGCGGCGGCAGGCGGGAGAGACCATCCCCGCGCAGACAGCGGGGACGATTCCAGGGCAGCCGACCGAGCGTCGCAAGGACTTCGCCGGCCCGGCCCGCTCCCCCGCATCCCCTCTAGGCAGGTGGTATGATCCGACAGGCTGGATAAGAACCCCTCCTCTCTGTCTCCCCCTCTCCTGTCAGTGCTAGGGTGTAGCTGCTGATCCTATATACACTACTGCAGAAAGCGGGGAGGCGGAGGAGCCGCGTCAGGTGTCGCCGCTCCGCCACCCGACTCGAGGCGGCGGAACCGTGGCGGCACGGCACCGCGTCGAGGCCAGGTGAGTCCGAACGCACTCTTACACTTTGCCATGCGCCTTTGCGACGGCCGGTGCGAAAAGCCACATGGCATCGCAATGAAATAAACACATGTACATTATACAGGTGTGCAGGTGCCAGGGCGCTCCAGGATGTCGTGATTGTCACCTCCACTGTGTGCGCGTGATTATGTGATGGGTGTCATCCGTACATATGGACAGAATATATATTGTATCTGTGTGTGTGTGTGTGTGTGTGTATACGCACACCATCTCTCCCAGTGTGGTGGTGGGAGACAAAGGGTCCCCTCAGTTTGACGCTGTGCACGCAGTCGCCGCTGGGTGGGAAACTTACCCCCTGTCACCAACCAGCAGTTCTGTGGAAGGGAAGGGAGGGTGGGTGAGAAGAAAGAAGTCAAATAGGGTCTCTTCTTCACGACATAACGGCCCCCCCCCCACCCACCACCCCCTCCACCTTAATTGCTGCCCAACACTCCTGACTCATGGTGAGAGGAGGACATGCTCACAGAAGATGGTGAAGATGATGATGATGATGATGATGGGGTGGGGGTTGGGGGGGCGCGGGGGTGCAATCTGAGGACACGCGGGTTGGTTTGTCGGTCATGACAGGAGGACTACTGTCATCTTTGAGAAGACATACCAGGGAGAATGAGATTAAATAGATGGGTCCAAGAGAAGGGGGGGGGGGGTTGGGCGGGGGGGTCATCTGCCACGCACATGACTGTGTGTGAGTACGCGTGAGTGCAACCGTGGAACGAAAGAACGGCAGCGTGATGCGCTGAACCGACGGCCATCGCTGACCCAGACAAAGGGCGGCGATCATATGTGCAGTCTCATGGCGTATACGGAGTCAGTATGGAGGTGGTGGGGGGAGGACGGCCACATGTATGGAGGGCGTCTCACACACACACACACACACACACACATGTGATCCTCATGTCTGGGCTAGGAAAGATGCCATGTGCGCATTGCACCGCTGTATTCCCCCCCCCCCCTTAACTCACCAGCTCTTTACCCGACGCCCTTATTCAACCAGCACTGTACAACGGCTCGCCGTCTACATCATAGACGCGTTCCACTTCGTCATGCGACACCCCATTGATCCTTCGCCTTCACCTCCACCATCACCGTCATATTCCATGACATCGTCAAACCCCAACCCCCACCAGCGCCGTCTGTGTGCCAACCACTGGAAGAGATGTGATCTTATCCTTAAGTGGGCTTTATCACGTCTTGCCCATGTGATGGAAGAGATCAGCGCATCTCTTCAAGGGGGGGTGGGGGGGGGCGCAGTCAGGGTCAGTCCGACCTGGTTTTTTTTTTTTTTAAATGAGGTAATATTGATCATCTTTCTCATAATCGTTGTGACTGACGGAAATTTGAACAAAGACCGGGGTTGTCAATCATCTGAAAACGGCGTCTCCGGTGCTACGTATTGATCCGAGTCGACATTTATGACGCCCTGTAGTGTGGGTGTGTGGGCATGTGTGATTTACATTTTCTACAAGGGTCATTGACAGTCGGAGCCCACCTCAAACCTTCACGCGCATACAGCAGCAGCGCCGGCAAAAGTGCAGGCTCTTTGTGTTCAAAATGGGGGCCCTAGAAGAACAACCTGTATATTGCCCGGTTTGCGTTTTACTCCCATTTCCTCTCTCCTCACGCCCCTCCACGCTCCTTCCATATGCGAGTGCTGTCAAGCTGTAGGGCGTGCCCCCCCCCCCCTCCCTTCAGCCCTTCTCTCCATGTTGTATATATACATATCTCACCAAGTGGAGTTCACGCTTGGCTGCATGCTGGTTGCGTGTGCGTGTGTGTGTGTGTGCGCTCCTTTTATACCAACAAGGAGGGGGGAGAAAACAAAAAAAAAAACATATTGTAGGTTTTGACGTCTGGGGTGGCGAGCAACACTTGCCGAAAATGTGACGCGTGATTGGAGAAACGTCAATTATGTGAACATTCCAGAGCCGCCGTGCAAAATGGCTGCCGAGCCAACGCTGCCTGTGATGGCCGACGAGCGCGTAGGTCTGAGGGTGACGCGTGTGCATACGTTGCTGCTGCGAGTCAATTTGTGCCAAGCGTAATCCCGCTATTTGGCTTTTTTTGTGTGTGTGTGTGTGTGTCTGTCGTGGGCAGTCTATACTAATCCATAATTACCGGCATCAACGTACACAACCTAGAATGTAGCAGTCATTAGGGCGGAACAATTGTCGATTGTTTCTCGTTGAAACCATGAAAAGACACGTTGAGCGGTGGAGATAAAGCCTACATTTGCATATTTGTCAGTGACCTCTCCTCAAAAAGCTGATCTTGTGTTTTCTTTACAGTTTGTGTGCCTCGGCGAGCCAACCGCAACACATGCGTCCGCCCGGCCCGGCCCGGCCTGGTCCGCCTTGCCCTGCCCTGCCCTGCCCTGCCCAGCAGCTGGCATCCTGCAGGAGTCATCAGGGTTAGTGCTCGGCTGGCACCCCTCGGTGTCCGAATCAGCAAGGCAGGAACTTGTAAATTTATAGCCGTGCACTCAAACACGAGGCCAAACAATCCATCTGGCATAAAAGAGAGAAGGGTGGGGTGCATTAGCTTTAAAACACATCAGTCACCAAAGGCGACAGTAAGCGGTTTTTGTGTGTGTCTGTGTGTGTGTGTGATTAAATTTATAACACTAAGACAGAAACGACTCTTCAGAGGGACGATATCGTCTCTTCACCAACATGCTACACGAGATAAACGCCCGTCTCCTTTTTAAATTTCCACATTTTCATCAGTTATTATCAGTCCACACGCACAGGCCTGATTAGCTGTTTAGCTTCTAATTTCAAGACTGCAAGTTTGAGCATTTT